AGGACCTACACGAACCACCGTTTCAATTTACAGTATGCCTAATAAATTCACATTTTTGCAGAAAGTGTGGATTTATTATTGTTCTCCCAAGCAGTCTGATCAGTGGATCACGGGTGCAATGTCAAGCTCCTGCAGACGAGTCTTGCAGCTTTCTGCCTGTACAGGCTGCCAATTTGAAAACTACAGGGCTTGTGAATGTAAACTACAAGGGTGCTCATTATTGCCCTTGCGGTCCATCGTGAACTACAAGCCATCTGTTGCAGTGGCACAGATTCCTGTGGATGAATGATACGGCTGTGCAGGGTTTTGCCAATTTTGAAATGCGATTGTAACCCCCGCATGCTGTCACAAGGGGAGGGGGGGGGGCTTAGAGAACCCTAAATATGGATGTAACATGCTCCAAAGGTGAACTTATTCTTTAGGTTAGGTTGATCAGACTACTCAAATCAGAAGCAAAGTCTGTATGTATAAGCAGGAATATTAGGACAGCACAGAGTAGTAGGTACCTATATTTCCAATCTATTGGTTCACAGCTTTGTTACCACCATGGCAATTAGAAAATGCTAGAGAAACATCTACCACCTGCATCATTTTTGGGTTGATGCTGGCCAACTGGATCACACAGTGTTTTAATTAACCTCTCAGGGAAACCGGTTGACAAAATGAACTGCTAGAGTTCCCAACACTGCCACATGTCCGCAGTCTTTACAAAGCCAAGTGATGGTGTCATGCTATCCTTTCTGGGTGCACACCCTGTGAATCCAGACATAGAAAGGTAACTGACCTCAAAGAGTGGCAGTAACACAAACACAGTGGTGAGGAGATTATAACAGCAGAGCTGAGATATAAACAAAGCCAGCCACTGACTCGTATTAATGACATTCTTCCAAGGCTACATGCACATGGGCACATTTGTCTATGCAGCGTAAAAACAGATGCATATTTTTGTCTGCTGGTCAAGAATGAGTGAAGGCAGCTGTGTGCGGCTATGTGCTGCTAATAGTGAAAGTAAGGCATGCACACAAGACAATGTCCTAAATGCAGAGCGCGTGCGTTCGGGACATTATACCTGTGCACTTCTCTACACTAATAGCTGCGGATAGCTACAGCTACCTATGAATGGCTGTATGCAGCTCCAGGACATCCCACGCACCTGACATACACAGATCATTTACACTGCACAGACAACTATGCTCATGTGCATGAAGCCGAAAACTGAAATATCAGTTTTAGATGAACTTGGCCTTAAACTTGAACAAAAAAAAAAATTGAAGCAGGCCCATCAGGTCTAAACCAATTAAGAGGAAATTTACAGATAAGGGTCTGATTTCTGCATATCCTTCATTTAACCAGATCCAACTATAGTTCCAGATGTTGTTCACAGTCTCATCTGCAGGTAAAACCTGGAATTATGGTCTACAAGCAATAAACCTTGATCTGCAAAATAATTCACACTCTAGCCTGTTAATAAACTTTGATTCCTCCTTCCTATAGGAAGGAGTGACCATGTGTATTCCCTTTTGGTATAGGTGTGAAGTGGTGGAGCAGCTTACAAAGGCCATGATAAAACTGTGAAAAGGAGATATATCAGTGCTGAGGTAGCTCTACTAAGCGAGTCAGTAGCCATTATGGGATAGGACATACATGTGTTTGTGCTTGCTGGATTTAAAGCCCAACTCCAGATTTTGTTTTGAGAGTGGGAAAGAGTTAAAATTGTAATTGGCATTTTATTTCTGTCTATGATACCTGTACAAGAATAGGGGCAGTGTCACCACCAGGACAGGAGGGCATAGACAGAAATGAAAAATACTGCAAGGTTTCTTACCCTTTCCCACTCTACTAAAAATGTGTTTTTCATCTGTGTCCCCATTGGAGAGATTACCTATCACTTCCTGTCCTGAGAAAAGGGACACATATAACAGAAATAAAAATCAAGCTCTATCCAAAAGAAAGAAAAAAAGTTTTTAGGAGTTGGGCTTTAAATCATGATTTGGAAGATGTTCACTTAATAGGGACATATAGCTCAAATATTGGACATTGTCCACTGAAAAAATCTAGACAGGAAAAAAGTCTAGCTGTGGCATATATGGGACTGCAGTACCTCTTTACCCTTCTGCTACAGGAGTCTCCAGCAGTAATTAAACATTTTAACATGAAAAACTCCTCCAACAAATAGAATATATGCTACTATAGCATTGGAGAGGCAACGTAAAAGGACAACTATAGCGATATTTCGTATTTTAAATTGGTTACTTTAAATATATTTTTTAAATAATTCTTTAGTTTTGAGGATTACAAGTACAACTCTGGAGCATATGAAATGACAGAACAGCAATTCATTCACAAAATAATAGGTCAACTGTTTGATAAAATTTTATTTACTCAGAATCTGGCTGCCTGTCAGATAATGAAGAATCACACATACATTAAAAAAGGTTGAGGCTTTTGAGTCTGACTAATGTAAACAAACTCCAAAAGATCAACACGCCAAAACCAGCACCCCTAGTATTTCACATTAAATTACAACAGAAATCACTATGTTCGGTACCAATTGAACTGAAAAAGGTGAAGTAAAAAAAAAAAAAAAGTACAAAAAACAAGTCACAATGCATAGAAAGACTACCACATTGTGTGTCTTGGGCACATAAAGAAGACACATTTAATTACAATGTCAGTATTAAAAAAAAAAAAAAAAAAAGTTTGGCCAAGAATCCCATCTACAACCTAGTTTTGTCCACAGTAGACTGACAACATTTCAGCATTCTATACATAGCAAAATTAACCCTTTTAATGTGCTGATAGACTATCATTTCAATGCAGCCAATTGTGATGTAAATTCAGAAGGTGTGCCTATGCATTGTCACACACATGACCTTACTCATAAAGAACTCAAATTCTTAAGTGTTAATTCCTAAGGGCAACAATCCACAGCAACCAGTGTCCATCTCATGCTGATTTGACTTCAGGAAAGTAAATTATTATTGACTGCAATGGAGTACTGCATTTCAGTATCAGTGCCTAAAACTAGGAACGCCAAACTGAAAAAGGCCTACAATGGCTTATTTAATTAATAAAGTTGGAAAAGAAAAATTACCAAGTGTACACTAAGGCTCTATGCACACTGGCGTTTTTTCCAAATCAAAAAATGCTAAGTAAAAAATGCTGGCAATAGTTTTAGGAGCGTTAGCATTTTATTAGCGCTTTTACAGTACATGTAGAGGGGGGAAAAAAGCTACCAAAAAAAAGCTGTTATGAGTGTTTTAGAAGCATATAGGAGTGTTTATGAGCGTTTAGCGTTTTTGTCTGCTGGAAAAACACTCCAAAAACAATTTTTTTTTCTGCTCCTTGATGCTGACACTCATAAAATGCAAATAGCCTAAATTAGTGTGAATGGACACATTGGATAACAATATTTAGCTTCTAGGAGAAGAAAAAATTATGCTGATGTTAGCGTCTAGCTTAAAAAACGCTAGTGTGCATGGAGTCTAAAGGTGCCTGAAGCCCTTGGAGGATGTTTACACATACATGCACTCATCCTCACACAACAGGATCAGGTGGTGCTGTGGTCTATAGACATGGAATCGTCTTTCGATTGGGCAAAAATCACCAGATAGGGCAAGCGCCTTCCATTATTAATGGGCAGCTCAAACAGATCTGTTTAGCATAGTCAACTAAGTGCAAATAAATTCTGACGTGTTGTCAGAAGTCTCAGTACACAGATACAGCCAATATCAATATTATGGTTTGTGCAATGTCAATTGTCAACAAAATTCCACCACTGTTACAATTCTGAAAATGATTTTTGGCCTGAGATGCTGCAACCAACAAAGTAGGCTAGAGCTCCTAAGAGAAGAAGCAAGGGTAGGACAGGGTTTACTGTAAATGAGTCCAGGAGTGTGGGATAGAGTAGACTTTATTAATGGTACACATGGCCTGTACATGTCCCATATGCTCCCTCATTGGCTTTCTTATGGCCACTCATTTAAAATGGCTTCTTCACTGTCTGTATTTTAGAGATACACTTAAATATCAACCTTTTTCCATAGGAAAACTAGCCTTAGTATAGCGTAAATAGAAATCTGCTAGTTATTCACTACTGAGAGTCTGCAAATATTCAAGGGAACTGGCCTTGGCGCTGACAGATGCGATGAAAATGTTGCTAGGAGACTAATTTTACTCTCTTTGCATGGAGAATAAATGTTTTAGGCACGAGCAAGATGAACAATTTGGTTTCCTCTTCTTTAATCCTCAGTATCACAGAAAATGACTGTGAAAGCAGCAAAGAGAGGTACATACAATGATTTCACCTGTCTTCCATGTGCAGCCTGGACATCAACAACTCTTGCAAAGAGAATCCAGCTTTCTGAAACACTGATTCATTTACAATGATCATTGTAAAACAAAATAACTTGAAAAACGGGTTAACCACTTGGAAATATGTTCTTTCCAAAGATGAAGACATCTGTGTTATCTAAATGTAGTTGCCTGAGTAGTCAATTAGCCTTTTTACAACCGTCTCCTTTGATAATGTCTGTAAAGCATAAGCTTTATATAAGAAACAGAACAAAGTTCAATGGCAGAAACAAAAAAATGGATAGGATATCATCAAAAATTGTCCATGAAGGATGCCTTAGTTAAAGCAAAAGTTTATCATGGCTGATTGAGGTCTTTGGATATGGTACCTGAAGCAGTGAAAGGATGTGGTAAACATGCAGACAAGATGAGAAATGGGCAAACAGAAAGCCATCCAAGTCCACCGTCTGAACAAGGAGTGCAAGGAGCAAGAGGCGTTGCATTGTTTTGTTGATCGTCATCTTCCTTGTCTTCAGCAACCAAAATAAATGCAGAAGATCTTTAAGTACAGTAGTGAGTGGTGTAATCCAAAGTACCGGAGAACAGTTGGCCAGTTAAGTGCTTCCATTATGCTTTTTGCTCATCTCATAAGTGAATCAAGAAAGCAGCAGCACACACGCTAGCTTCACTGCTCTTTACAGTTCAAATTAATCATAGCGTCCCTTTATCATTGTGTTTAACAAAGGTCCAACCTGCAAACATGACAAATGGAAGAATAAAAGTATTAAAGTCTAACCAAAAGCAATACAAAGCATCACAATATGTATAGATTTGTTCATATTTGGTTTGAGTGTGGTGTGGGTTGGCCCCCCCAATGAGGTTTTTACTGCTGTATAGGACCCTGGTGATGAAAACTTTCCCTTCTCTTGATGGTAAATTAATTGGATTTAATGTCCTGGGTGGACAACATATGATGTCCTCCCAGGGACACGCTACGGTGCAATCTGTCACCTGCTGTGTCCACCGGACACAGCAAATGACAAATCATTGTACCGAGCTGCTGTCAGTACCATGTGATCGCTGTGACCAATTTTTTGCCTAAGTTTATGAAGAAAGATTATTTGCAACATTTTATAACCAAAACTAAGGGAAAAAAACATATTTTCTTCTACATTTTCAGGCTTTTTTTTAATTTAACAAAAAATCCAGTGGTGATTAATACCACCAAAAGAAAGCTATATCTGTTTCAAAAAATGATAAAAATTTCATTTGGGTACAGTGTTGGATGATTGAGTAATTGACATTCAAAGTGTGACAGCTCTGAAAGCTGAACATTGGCCTGGGCAGGAAGGGGGTGAAAGTGCTGAGGTGGTTAAAGCAATCCAAGAGTAATGGGCTCACATAAGACACAATACATTCATAATATTTGGAGGAGAATATGTGAAACATTGATTGGATAAGTACAACCATAGATGAATTGTGATTAAATAACCCTTAGATCTATCTTCATTAAAAAAGGTAAATACCCTGTTCACAGATAAGTACTTAGCTGAAGTTCTCCAGGAATATGTTTTGTAAAGCGCTGTGCAAACTGTTAATACTATATAAATCCTGCATACTAAAAATAATATCCCAGCAACTTGTGCTATTGGATGCAAAACAGTGGGGATTAGAGGGAGGTTAGTGGCATTTTTAGCCTCATTTTTTGTACCCTTTTTTTCAAAGGGAGAGGAAAAGTTTAAATATCCTTTTATCTACTGCACAGATCTGATCTACAGTCATGAGAAATATTTGGTATAGGTTAGTGCTGCTAAAGGGGATCTGAAAAAAAAAAAAAAAAAAAAAAGATTCATCCACTTTTCCAAGAATGGACTCTGCATATTTCAAACATTCTCAAAACAAGAGAAAGTAGTACACGCATGCAGATGGTGCTTAGTTACTATTGTGACTTAGGAGACAGACTACATTTAGGAGCCATTCATGCAGAACTTGTTCAAAGGGTTCATAAACGTCTTGCAAACTGTAGGTGCATGTACCATAAAAAAAAAGAGGACATACAAAGAATATATGACCAAAGAAATACATAAATTCTGCAAAACAGCACCAGGTGTTCTAAGGGCAGACTCGGATTAAGCTAGTGAAATAATTTGTAGTGTAATGCCAGTACCCACTCCAAAAATAGTTGCTGTGCAAATGCAGGGGCTGGGGGGAGTGGCAGAAGGCCAGGACGTACAACACATGTCCTGTGTACTGTCATTAAAGTGTTACTAACCCCATGACTTGGCATTTACTATATCTGCTTTTCCACAGCACACAGAACATGGAAATGCAATTATTTTAGTAAATATAAACCTTTTCTCATCAGCAGCATATAGCAGTCTTGTGACTGCTATCGGTGTCCAGCTGAGCACTGGTTAAAGCCTATAGGAGGAGGAGTTTCCATTCTGCTCCGACTGTCCTATGAGGCTGCATAATCCCTGACGCTGTCTGGACAGCGCTGATTGGTCCTGTGCTGATCACATGCACCCTCCCAAAGAAAAAAAAAAAACTCTCTATCCATATACACTGAGCATGTGCAGAGTGACTCCTAGAGCCCTGTACTATCAGGAGATGATTGCAACAGTAAAAGAAGGGAAGGATCAGAGAAGACAGGATCATACATACTTTTTACACAATGTGGAGGATTAACCCGTTCCACAGTGAGTATAACAAGCATGCTTTACTGTTTATATACAGACTGATTTTACTGTTGTGGGTTGTAGTAACACTTTAAGTTTTATGGATGTGTGTGAGATGTCCAGTGTCCAAAATTGGTTAGAAAAAAAAAAAAAAAAAAAGATAGAATGTGATATTTCAAGGAAGTGGAACCTAGGCAGCCTATTCCTCTCATAATAGGCTTCCATTAGGCATTATACCCCTCAGTTTAAATAAGCAGTAAGACAGTAGGGACAGCTTTTACAGATAAGGAGACCAAACAAACAACCGTTGGAAAAAAAAACACACATTAGCTGGAGTAAGTCCTCACATACCTCTTGTGGGTTTCCAAGAGCTTCTCCAAGCATCTTTTCAATATTTCGCATTATCGCCACTTTCTGATGAGCTTTGAGTGGGTATTCTATTCTTTTTGGGGTTGGGGCACCCTTACAGGATAAAATGGCATACAAATAAGCAGAAAATGTAATACTTATTTTGCAAATTATACATTAAATAGTATAGCAAAAAACGATGTAGCATTAAAGGAGCTCTCTGGGCCTTACTTCTCCTATGGATTACAGGAGTACCGTTTGTTCTGGACTCCTGTGACCCATTTTCAAGTGACACCAGGTTAAAGTCCGCTGTCGGCTGACGTCAATCAGTTGGTCCAGGCTCTGGATCGATCCCAACTTTACAGTTGAGATCCACCCAGATGCCTGGACCAGCAGCTGCCTCAGCCTCTCAGCGCATCGCTGAGAGCCTTAGCCAGCTGCTCTCGCCCCCTCCACAGCCCAGCGCTCCAGTAACTGACAGTCACAGGCTTTCTGCAGACTGAAGACAGAGAACTGGGCAAGCAGCGGTGTTCGATTGCTCGTTTCTCCATCCTAGAGCCCATGGGGGACAGATTCAGCTGGGATTGGTGCTGGAGCCATCTAGGTGAATGAGAATGTGGTTTTTTTTTATATTCCAAAATGTCTTTTAACGGATAAGTTTACCTCTTAAAAAAAAAAATAATAACTGCACATCTTTTTGCAAGTAAAATATGTGCATTTATTATTTTTCTTTATTTGAAGCCTGTAAAGCATTGTACCCACGATCAGATCAGCCTTACCCATGGGACTGCTGTACAAGGTAACAATCATTATCTTAGTCACCACTACTACAGTGATCACCACTGTTTTCTGAGTCCCTGCTGCACAGTAACCACATGGGGTGGGTCGCTTGCTCAGCACAGGCACCATTCAAAGTATGCCCTGCATTTTTCTGAATGAATGCAATGCACTGACTGGAGAAGGTGGAGATAGTGACATCATTGGCCTGCCTCTCCACCTCCTCCAATAAGATCCCACAGATATGCCATAAGCATGAATATTTGGTTACTTAATTATGCAAAAAAATCCGTACCTGGAGTTCAGCTTCAGGTTTCGTTACATTTAAGAACTAAACAGGTTTCATTTGTTGAATGTATGTATTAAATACACACAACCATTATAGGGTCAACAATAAATCTACCAAACTATGCATTCTTATCACACTATTCAGATAAATCCACTTTATAAAATGTATATTTTAAAAACTGAATTTACCTTATACCAAAAGTTAACTGTAATTGTTATTCCTCCATCAAGTAATGATTCAATATGGTGCCACCTGTAATATATACGGATTGTTAAATAAAAATGATACATGCTCTATTTTGATTAATACATAATTTGAACATTGACAATAAACCATAAAACTAATTACTGTATGAAGCATGCAATGAAAATACATGATGTGGCCCTAAGGAAGCCCAACCAATGACTTCCCTTTCCTTGCCAGAGCCATGTTTTAATTTCTGCACACATGCTAAATGTTTTTTTTTTTTTAACATGAAAACAAGCTTAACCCCTTAATGCTAGCACCTACCGACTCTTTAACCGATTCCCGTCCGCCCTATAGCAGATTTACTGCTACAGGGCGGCACTAGTGCGCTAAATCACGTATATATAAGTAAATTTGCATTTCCGGTAGGGGACGCGCGTGAGGGCCACGTGCACCCCACCCCGCAACCATTCACGGCCACGGCTGTCAATCACTGGGTCCCGGCCAGTGATTGCACACACAGAAACAGCCCCATAGTAAAACACACTCAACACACAGCTAACCCTTTGATCTTCCCAGATGTTAACCTCTTCCTGCCCAGTGTCATTAGTACAGTGTCAGTGCTTTTCATTAGCACTGATCACTGTATTGGTGTCACTGGGGATGTCAGTGACACCAAGTCAGTTCCCCCCAAGTGTCAGAATGCCCGCCGTAGTCCTGCTATAAGTCGCTGATTGCCACCATTACTACTAAAAAAATTAAAAATCCCTGTATATATACCGCCATTTGCAAAAGCTATAACTTTCATGTAAACCAATTAATTTACACGTATTTGGATTTTTTTTTAGCAGACATGTAGCAGAATACATTTTGGCCTAAATTTATGATGAAATTTGATTTTTTAATTTTTTTTACTGGACATGTTTAATAGCAAAAGTCAAGAATATTGTTTATTTTTTCAAAATTGTCAGTCTTTTTTTTTTTTTAGCGCAAAAAATAAAAACTGCACAGGAGATCAAATACCACCAAAACAAAGCTCAATTCGTGGGGGAAAAAAAAGGACATAAATTTAATTTGGGTGCAGCATTTGTCAGTTAAAGTAACGCAGCGCCGTAACGCAAAAAATGGCCTGGTCAGGAAGGGGGGTAAATCCTCTGGAGGGCAAGTGGTTAAGGGGTTTCTGATGCTGGTAGGTGGGACGGGGTTTATGATCATAGCAAGTGATATTCCGTAGTAATCAGGTGGTTTTCGTTAAGCACCAGTAACTGTGCTCAGCACAGGTTTGTTTACGTTTGAGTACGTATATATGCAGCCTCTCTGCGTCAAGGCTCACCCGCCAAGAGGCCGCATATATGCGTACTGTTGGCACGAAGAGGTTAAGACCCCAAACATTACCTATCTTCTGAAAGTTGAGGACCCAAAGAAAAAAAACATGCTAGTTGCAATTTTTTATGCTGCACAATATTAGCTCAAATCTTTATCTTCAGTAAAAAAATACAATTAATTCTAGTGCTCAAAAACACAATAAAAACATACAAAATTTTCTGTAAACTATAAAAGATGAGAGAATCAAGTAAATATATCAGGGATGTGGTTCAGATGGATCAACTATACCTAATAACAAAGTAAACATATCAAATAAGCCAAGACTCCACACTGAGTTCTCCAGCAACATGGTGACAAATTAAGATACCCATAATTGTCTATCAGAAAAGTTTTTAAAACTTTCAAAAGTCATCAACTTAAGCCGATCATACATGAAATTCATCCAGTTCAGCAGGGATCAGCCAAATTTCAAACCATGTATGGGCAGGCTTATTGTACACAAGTCGATCGGCTTGTGGACAACCTGACTGTTGGAAAAATCTTCTCTGCTGATCACTGTATTCTGATGGTGCGGAAGTTTCCCCATTGTCAGAATATAACACAGCAGGAGGTATTTCCCCATCCATCTTGAGGGTGTGGATGGCGGAATTGAGTACCGCATATACTCGAGTATAAGCCGACCCGAATATAAGCCGAGGTACCTAATTTTACCACAAAACTGGGAAAAACTATTGACTCGAGTATAAGCCGAGGGCATCAGTGAGAGGAATAGTGCCCCATCGTTGGTGTCAGTGGGAGAAATAGTGCCCCATCGTTGGTGTCAGTGGGAGGAATAGTGCCCCATCGTTGGTGTCAGTGGGAGGAATAGTGCCCCATCGTTGGTGTCAGTGGGAGGAATAGTGCCCCATCGTTAGGAGGAATAGTGCCCCATCGTTGGTGTCAGTGGGAGGAATAGTGCCCCATCGTTGGTGTCAGTGGGAGGAATAGTGCCCCATCCGTTGGTGTCAGTGGGAGGAAAAGTGCCCCATCCTTGGTGTCAGTGGGAGGAAAAGTGCCCCATCCTTGGTGTCAGTGGGAGGAATAGTGCCCCATCTTTGGTGTCAGTGGGAGGAATAGTGCCCCATCGTTGGTGTCAGTGGGAGGAATAATGCCCCATCATTAGTATCAGTATCAGTGACACCAATGATGCGGCACTATTCCTCCCACTGACACCAATGACACTTGCTGACCCCTGTTGCAGTATGGTGCTGCTGCAGCCAGCATATGTGGTTGCAGCAGTACCTCTGCACTGCACACTTACCGGCTTTCCCTCACTCGATTTTCGCGGGTCCGCTCGGCTCTGCCTCCTCGCCCGTGATTGGCCGCCTGTGTACCTTTCCTGAGCTACAGTTCTGGCGGCCAATCACCGGTGAGGAGGCGGAGCCGAGCAGCAGGAGTGAGGGAGTGGCCGGAGTGACTGAAGGAGCAGCGCTTCCTGGATGGATCATCGTGAATCATCATTGAGCCAGGTAAGAGACAGCAGCCCTCTGCCCACCCCTGTACGCGCCCCCCCTTGACTGAGCCTCGCGCCCCCCCTGCTAGACATCTGCAGACGTTGACTCGAGTATAAGCCGAGGGGGCCGTTTTTCAGCACAAAAAATGTGCTGAAAAACTCGGCTTATACTCGAGTATATACGGTAATTTTCTTTCAATCAACCCACTGGTTGAACAAAAAAATGTATAGCCAGCCGAGATAACACTAAAAAGGCCCTAGAATTATTCATCTCATTCAGCAATACACAAGTGTTGCGCAATTGTTATTTATGTAGACCTGTACACCACACACATCTTTGTGTGTGCGCAAATGCAGGGGGCCTTAAAAACATTTGTATTATTATTTTATAGGTTTTATTTTGCACTTTTTTCACAAGGGAGCTGATAAGACCTCTATTTGATGATAGCACTTTGTGAGTGACAGGTACTCCCTATTGCAGAAATCAGGGATCTTTGAAACCTAGTGCCTCCCCTGCACGAAGGTAACTTTGATCAAGGACACAAAGTTCTCAATTAGCTGCTTTACCTGATTCTCCAAGCTGGGGACTGACGGATTTGAACCCAAAGTGCTCAGAGATGAGCTCTTCGAGGTTCCTACTTCACAGCAAAGATGGAGGCACAAACATTCCTCTCTGTTCGCTTAACATCCTAATTTTTTTTTTTTTTCCGTTTTCAATTCTGGGCTGCCAGAAGAAGCAGATGAGCCCAAGGAGTGAGGAAGGGATTGGGGCACATAAAGTTCTGAAGAAGTGACACATGTACAGCTGCCAGAACTCTTTTACAAGATGACAACCTGCTCTTGAATTGTAAACTCATTTGTTTTCGAGTTTGTTTACATGCAGTTACTGACACTACATAGTTGTTATATTGATTGCATTAAAAAAGAAAATGGTTCACAAAGTTTTGCTCACAGCTGACTCTGAAACACATTCTTTTCACCACAAGCTCAAGAAGAGGTCTTATGGCACCACAATGGGTCTGAACAGACTTGAGACCTCATTCTCAATGAAATCATAGCCTGGCCATACACAGGCTGAAGGAAAGAGAATCGCTCGATTCCACCATCAGCATACCCAGTGTTGATTTGGGGAATCCCTCCTGCTGCACTCTTGTATTCTGATGGTGGGAGGTTCCCCCATCATCAGAAAACAGTGATCTCTGTTGCCAGTGATCACACCAAAAAAACCTGACAGGTTGGTTGTACTGAAGTACATTGACAGATTAAGTTCAGTACAACCAGTCTACCCATAGATGGATCAAAATTCAGTTCAGCAGGATTTGATCCGTCTATGGCCGACTTTAGTTATATATATTTTTCAGAATTTTTTATCACAGATAAAATCTATGATCATCAGAATATCAATTTTTTCAAAAAGATTCCTTTCCGTACCAATGCACTGGACTGCAGTATGTTGGAAAAAAAAATCCTGTATGTTGCACATTGGATGGAATGATTTACAGCTTGCTATTCAAGTCAATTTAAAAGGCTAAATTGGCCTTTGTAATAAAATGCACTGTGCAGTTAAGGAGCTCCAAGTACATTTTAAAAGAATACTGTGAAACTTTAACATTTTGAGTTTAAAGTGCCATACATGTGGGCTCATCACAGCTTACACTGTTAACTGAAGAACTACTGATGGGAGTGATCTGCAACGCCCTGTACGTTGAGCGCACTATGGCATAACTGCAATGAGTGATTTTCCTCTTTAACCATTTGCCGCCCACCCTATGGCCGAATGGCGGCTGGCAAATGTCATCAGCGTTCCAGGTGGACGCCATATGGTGTCCTCCCGCACATGCGCAGATTGAGCTCCTGCAGAACCGCGCAGCGGCGCGATCTGTCACTGGCCGTGTACCTCGGACACGGCCGATGACAGATCTGAGTATCAGCCCCCGTTGCCGGTACCATGTGACCTGCTGTGACCAATCACAGCATGTCACATGACAGTTGTATACAATGGATGGCTTCATTCATGCCATCCATTGTATACTAGTGTCTAGCTGTGAATGGTCACAGCTAATCACATGCACATGTCATGTGATTAGCTGTGGCCAAATCACAGCTAAGCACAAAAACAAAAAAAAACCCTGAATGAATCGATGTCATTCAGGTAAATGCTTGCTTATAGCAAAGTAATTCTTTGCTATAAGCAAATTGTGTTATAAAAAAAAAAAAAAAAATACTGATCACTTCCCCAAAGTAGTACAATGTTACTATGGTAACATTGTACTACTTTGGTCATAGTGAAATAAGAAAAAAAAAATCTTAAAAAAAATTTAATAAAAAAAAAAAAAAAAATATATATTTTTTTTTTTTTTTTTTCATACTGTCACCAGTCCGTGTCCCTGATCACCACCATGCCAGTTATATGATGACGCTGTACTGCACTGGTGACAATATGTAAAAAAAAAATAGTGAAACTAATTTTTTTAATTTTTTCGTTTTCTGAAAAATTATGACAAAAAAAAAACACAAACTTGCCATGCCTCTTATGAAGTACGTCGGACTGTCTACTTTGCAAAAAGGGGTCATTTGGGGGATATCTGTACTGTTCTGACATTCTTGGACCTCAAGAAATTAGATTGGCTGTCAGTACTTCAGGATTGATCAATATTCAGATCTATACCATAGTTTGTGAACTCTATAACTTTCCTACAAACTAAAAAATACATCCTAATTTGGGTTATTTTCACCAAAGACATGTAGCAGAATACATCTCGGCCTAAATTCATGAAGAACAATTATTTATTTGCAAACTTTTAACAGAAACAAAGAAAAACGTGTTTTTTTCAAAATTTTTGGTCTTTTTTTTTGTTGATTTAGCAAAAAATAAAAACCCCAGTGGTGATTAAATACCACCAAAAGAAAGCTCTAGTTGTGTGAAGAAAATGATAAAATTTTAGTTTGGGTACAATGTTGTATGACCGCGCAATTGTCATTCAAAGTGTGAGAGCACTGAAACCTGAAAACTGGCCTGGGCAGGAAGGTGTAAAATTGCCCGGTATTGAATTGGTTAAAGACCAGCAAACACACGGTGCTCCAACTGTTGCCACACTGGTGGAGCTTACAGGTATGGCACTTAAACTCACCTGCTCCTCTCTCTCTCTCTGAGTGCCTCCATAGCAAGCCGCTTGCACTCATGCAGGCATGCTCCTAAGCAAGGTTGTGTGGGTCCATAGACACACAGCACAGCTCGGCCCCCGCCTTTCACACCCTCCTCACAGGATTTGATTGACAGCAGCAGGAGCCAATGGCTCTGACTGTTGTCCCTGTGCCTATGAGAGAGAGAGAGGGAGAAAACACAAGCACTGTTGCAGACGGGCACAACTCTGGATCGAACGAGGTAAGGTAAGTATTTAAGGGGATGGGTGATGCTTGTAGGAGCTGATCATGGAAGGTTTTTTTTACCTAAACCACTTGCCCACCGGAAGGATTTACCCTCTTCCTGACCAGACCATTTTTTTCTATTTGGCACTGAGTTATTTTAACTGACAATTGCACAGTCACCCAACACTGTACCCAAACGAAACATATTTCTTTCACATAAATAGAGCTTTCTCTTGGTGGTACTTGATCACCTCTGGGTTTTTATTTTTTGCGATATAAACAAAAACAATATATTTTTTTTACAGTTATAAAACATAACCAATAATAACATTTTAAAAATCTAATTTCTTCATACATTTTGGCCAAATTGTATTCTGCTACATGCCTTCAGTAAAAAAAAACATATCAATAAGTGTGTATTGATTGGTTTGTTTGAAAGTTATAGTGCCTACAAACTATGGGATATATTAATGGAATTTTTATATAATCATTTTATACTACTAATGGCGGTGATCAGCGACTTATACTGGGACTGCAATAGTGCGTTGGGCAATCTGACACTAAATGACACGGGGGGGGGGAACTAACTGCCACTGACATCGCCAGTGATATTAATACAGTGATCAGTGCTAATAAATGCACTGTCACTGTAATGACGCTGGAGGGATAGGAAGAAGTTAACATCTAGGGCGATCAAGAGGTTAACCGTGTGCCTAACTCTGTGTAATGTGTGCTGCTTTTACTAAGGATCTAGGGAATGAAAAAACAACAAGACTCCCTGTTAGTGAACAAAGCTCTGTATTGTTTACAATGACAGAAAAGTGTTCAGCTGCTTTCAGTGCTTATCACACTGACTCCCAGCCATTGTTTGCCGGGACCCGATTATCAGCATGTGCTGTAATGAATCACAGGACAGCCAGACCGGCAGGCACACGCAGCTCCCTGCTTGAGCGCACAGATCATGTACTAGGTACTTGATCCAGCGCAGAAGAGCCAATCTGCTGCCGTATATGCAAGTTATACAGTCGACAAGTGGTTAATGCATATAATGCCACCATACAGCCACTCTGTAACTTGGCTGCAAATCCTCCTGCTGCCCTTCATGTGCTCGCCCATCCCATTGGGTAAGCCGGGACTAGTTCAATCAGCAGCATTCTGTGGACTGAATAGAAAAAAAAGAGCGGGCATTGTTTCTCCCTCTCTGTGAGTTCAGAAACTGGAAGCAACGAGGATTTCTCTTCCATCACTTCCAGTTTCAGTCTTTCGTTTACCAGTCATTACCAGCTTGTATAAGTATCTGATCATACAGATCTCAGTTTTAACAGATGTTGACCTGTCAAGGCTCATGCTATCACAAAGGATGTTGTTCATCCCTTGTGATAGCAATAAAGTTGAAAAAAATCGATAGTGTAAAAGTAAAAAAAAAAGCTTTAAAAAAATTAAAAAAAAAATTAAAAAACACCCCCGTCCCCCCATGCTCAAATGAGAATGCATGCGGAAGTGCAGTACACATATGTAAACTGTGATCACACCACATGTGAGGTATCGTTGCAAACATCAGAGTGAAAGCAGAAATTCTAGCACCATGCCTCCTGTATAACTCTAAACCGGTAACCTGTAAAAGCTTTTAACCTCCCTGGCGGTATTCCCGAGTGTAGCTCGGGGTAAAGTTTCAGTACCACTCGGGCTTACCATGCAGCGTTGCATAGGGAATCCCTGCATCGCTTACCTTGTCCTTCGCTCCCGCGATGCGTCCCCTGCAGTGTCCCCGGCCATCTCCTCCGGCCGATGCCGGAGTCCATGTTCCGGTCCCTGTGACGTTGGGACGTACGGGCGCCGGAACCGGCGGCAAATTTAAAAATTTTTTAAAAATGTAAATTTTTTTAAAATGATTATTACATAGTAAAAACATTGCTGTTTCAAAGCATTTCACATACATTTTGTCCCTAGTGCTTTGTCCTGTGCCCTGCCTGCATTTTGACTGTTCTTTCTGCCTGGAAACTTAGAAAAGTCCATGGCGTCCAAAAAGCGTCCCTTTAGGTCAAAATCGGTTTTAGACCAGCTAGAGATCAGCGATAGTAAATCAGAACCACTTGCAGAATTGAGTGATAATGATTCGTGGAGAAATTCGTCATCAGACACTGAAAATGTTTCTGCGACTTTGCTCAGCAATGTGCGAACTTGGCGCTATATTTCAAATTTCAGTGTTTTTGGTTTGATTATATTATTGAATTAAATTTATTATATTATTTTTTATGATTATTTATTAAATTATAATTTATGATTTCGTGTTTCAAGTTTTATCATATCGGAATGTTTACTAGACTCTTGTTCGGTCAGATTTCAGTGAGTTATTCGTAAATTACAGGCCTACAATTAAAAAAAATACATATTTTCATGCAAAAAAAATGGTACCGCTTTCAGCACCAAAAATCTGAAATAATCATACCGCCAGGGAGGTTAAAGGGTTGCTTTATGGAGATTTTTAGATATCATAGTTTTGCACTGTTCCACGGGCGTACGCAATTTTAAAGCATAAAATGTTTGGTGTCTAATTACTTGATATAACAATCTTTTAGATTTTACCAAAAATTGGGTATTACATTATGTTTGTGTTCACTAAAATTCATTACACTATTTTTTACCAAAAATTTGTGTTTGAAAGAAACACAAATACCGTGTGAAATAAATAAATGCAAGACCCACCATTTTAGTCTCTACGGCCTCTGCTTAAAAATAAATTAAATATATAAAATGTTTGGAGGTTCTAAGTAATTTTCTAGTACATAAATGCTGATTTTCTGTGTATAACGCACATAGCATTGGCAAGCCACGCCCCTGCACCCTCCCCAAGGCAGTTTGACTGATGGCAGCAGGAGCCTACTGCTCTGCTCTCCTCAGAGTTTGCTGAGGATCACAGAAGTTCAGGAAGTGGCACTGATGAATGCTGGACCTGTTGCCTATGACAAGGATGGTAGATATATGTTTGGGGACAAGTGGCAATAAAAGTACTGGGAATTTTTTACCTTAATCACCTGACGACCAGCGACGTACCAGTACAAATTGCCAGTATATACTGGCCGGCATCATCATGGTACCGTTTTTCAGAGCCGACAATCGACTTTCTTATATAAGCAATATCCAAGCGGCTGATCAGCCCTCAACCTCCTGCCTTATGTAGCTCTCTCTACAAAAGAGTACCTGTCATTGCCTATTGCTATCACAGGGGTGATTTATATTCTCTGATGACAATAAAAGTGATCAATATTTAAAGTGATAAAATAAATGAAAAATGTTAAAGCAAAGGAGAACACGTGTCAATCCTGCGTGCAAGCAAACAGCAATCATCCCACACATGTGAGATATCACCGCGAACATCAGATCGAGGGCAGTAATTCTAGCACTAGACCTCCTGTGTAAATCTAAAGTGGTAACCTGTAAAGGCTTTTAAAATGTTGCCTATGTATAGTAAAACTTACATTGTTTGTTGCCGATGCAATTGCAAGTGTGCACAATTTTGAAGTGTGACATGTTTGGTAAAATTTAAAAGATGATGTCATGCCGAGCAATATAGATAGATACCAAACAATTGGGTATTCTATTGTGTATTTTTTCCAAAAAACATTGTGTTTGAAAAACCACTGCGCAAATATGGTGTGACATAAAAAATTGAAACACCCATCAATTTATTCTCTAGAGCCTCTGATTTAAAAATATATATAAAGTTTGGGGGTTTTAAGTAATTTTCTAGCAAACAATACTGATTTTTACATGTCAGAAAAGGCTTGGTCCTCAAGTGGTTAACATTGAGAATGCATTAAGGTAAAAAATAAAAAAGGGTAGCCTTTACAACTACTTTAATTTTAAAATCATGTTAGATTGCTCTACTTAAATATAGCATTGATTGCAAAAACACAAACACATTCAATTATGCTTAGTGTCTTACCAGTACATAGGTATATACAGAACATCACCGGGTCCCACCACAGTCTCATAACCAACCACATTCCGGAAGTTAGGAAACCGCTCTACATCAGGATTCTCAAAATCCACCTAGATCATGGAGGAAAATAGAACTGTAAGCTTGAAGTGTATATATTTCAAAAAATACTTTATTATGAAAAGGAATCAGGTCTGTAAAGGAAGTCAGTGTAATAGAATACAAACGTTTACTTATCCACCTATATCTCAAACTTTTTTGCCTGTACTTCTCCTGTGGATCAGTTTGTTCTGCACTCCTGTGAGATGGTTTCAACTGACATTACTCAGCCGGTCCAGGCTGGGGAAAGATCCTGACATCAAAGTCGGGATTCACCCGAGAGTCTGGAGCGACACCAGCTGCGCCCTCCCTCTCCGCAGCCCAGCGTTCCAGTGAGCTCTGGGGGGGCTCAGCGGACAGCAGTGACTGACAGTCCCGCTCTCTGCTCACAGTCATGTGATTGCTGAGTTCTCACCCTTAGAGCCAGCGGAGGACAGATGCAGCACCAGACAGATGTTGCATCCGCCTAGGTAAGTATAAATAGGAGAAAAAAAAAGCCCTACTTCTCTTTTAACTTCATGATAATGGGCACTAGATCTACAGCCTAATCTGCGTGGTGTTCCAGCAAAAGGCCAGAAATCTACTGCCCAGCTACCCCCATTTCATACACACTCCTAAGTGGACATAGACAATGATAAAACAAATTAAAAGGCAATCTTACTTAATGCGTTCAGGATTTGCTCACCCTTCAGGGCTGGGAAGAACTCCCTGGCTTTCACAACTGTCCATGTCACAAATTTAAAGTGGCTAGACAACATCCAAATTTACCCTTCCCCCTTTTCCAGACTATATCCTAGACTTTTTATCTTGTTGTTGTAGCAAGAAACAACTTTTATTAGTCCCTGTGAGATCATCACAAAACTGCTGGGAGCTTTATTCCTAGTAACGTACACACATCCCCAAATCACAATTGCCTTTTTCCCCACACAGTAAGGGAGAAGGGATCTTGGGAATGAAGGCAGCAGTATTATTTTTTGGGAAAAAATAAATGTATGCACATAAAGTGGGACAAAGAAGGGCAAGGGTATCAATGAACGTCTGTTGTCCAGCCGACAGGGCTAACAACACTGGCTGGGATTGCTTGCAGCAAAGGCAATGTGTTGTCAGCTCAAACAGGAAATTACAAGCACACTGGATTTATGGCAGATCAAATGATATTTGTTTTTACTTGCAGTGTTATCAATAGGATAAAAAAAGGAGGCAATTATTACACCTCTCCCTTTTTACTTGCTTTTTCTTCTGGCTCTTCCTTTTCTTCTGTTTCTCCTGCCCCCACGCCTCTTCCCCTTTTATGGACCCCCCTCTATTGTTCCCCCCTCCCCCTCTTTCCCCTTTTTTTTCGTAGGGTACCAAGTAGGACCTTTCCTCCTGCTCTCCCACTTTTCCTCGATATTGCTCTTTTTCTTTACCTGCTACTGGCAATAACTATACCTGTTGCCATTACAATATCCTATTGATCCACTGCATATCAGCCTGTTTTTTGATGCCCTGCCCTTCTCCCCCTTGCACTCTGGCTTGTTTCAAGAAGTATACTTTTTGATCTATCTTTACTTGGTTTTGCCTGGTCCATTATCCCTGTTTGTATTATACCCGGTTATACAAATTGATGGTCTTATTGTATACAGCACACTTTGCTTTTGGACGGCATTTTCTCTTGTACTTTCACCATTTGTACTTGTCACAATGGTTGTTGTTTATCTTTTTTGTTTATGACGCCTTGCATAAAAATATAAAATAAAAAAAAAAGGAGGCAATTGGGGATTGAGAGCTATTGAACTTTAACAAAAAAGATTAAATAAGTTTTCCCTGACGTTGCCTTTAGAAAAGAAAAAAATAAAAATAAACAACAATGTACACATTATACTAACTACATATTATCACTAACCACTAAGAACAAGGCTCTAGATTACACTTTTCCACTGACATGGGCATTCAACAAATTAAGGTTGTATTTTAGCAAGCCTGCCAAAGTGTGGCTCTCACCTGGCTCTGTCTGTCACAGGGGTGGTGAACTGGATAAGGATAGAGGCATTCAAACTGTTCGGGTGGAAAAAGGATACACCGCTTGTATCCCTTGATCTGTGCAAAGAAGTTCTGCTGCTCGTCATAGTGCGCCGGAGTCACGTTTCCTATACACAAACAGCAACATGAGCTTAGGCACGTACACAGGAGACCAACACATGTCAATGTTTTACTGAAATAATGTAGAATGATCTCACTACGCAAACACAATTGTAAATACAGTTACAAAAAAAAAATGTTAGTGTGTGAAGACTGAGCAGTTTTCATTAAAGAAGAACGTCATATGAATTGTTAAACTAACATTAAAACAGTTAGCTTTAAGTCCCTAGTTACAACAAATGACCGTGGAAAAACATATATTAAAAGTTACATAAACTGGGTTATGGCAAGGTTTCACCTATAGCTCCTAGGTAACATTCAACACATAGGATGTGCATACATTATCAGTGCACAGCTGGGTAGCTTACCTTCCATGCCGATCAGCAGCAGGTTTGAAGTCAGCTGGCCCCAGCCGTGCTTTGCTTGTTGCCTATTTATCCAATTCCAGTTAAAACCTAAGAAATCCACCACAATTTTTCGCCCTACAGTATCATTCAGAGTTTGCTGCAGATATAACCTGCACGGAGAAAACGTGTTAAAATTTATTTCTGTTAACTACACAAAGCTAGAAGTTTGGCGTCATACTAAAAGCTACTAAAATAGACTTTGCAGAAACTCAAAGTAAATATTTTTATTACACCCAGTTTGCTGCTGGCTGGAATTATAATGCACTGTCCCAGCAGATGTAGCGCCTTATCCACGCAAACACGATGACATTCGCAGGTTCATTATAACACTGGCATAGATGGGATGAAGCTAGCCATAGACAGGCGGCAACAATCTCTTGCCTATAGGCTTGGAAAACACTATTAACTAACCATTCTCCATGATTACTATATCACAGCCCTGATAGCTAACCATTTTCTAGAATTACTTCCCCCACACAGCAATAGTAAACCATTCTCTATGATTGCTATCTCTCCTGCACCCTGGATGAGTGCCCCATTATTGCTTCTTCTCTTTCCCTATGTCTCACATGACCTGCATTGTTTGAGTAGTTAATGCCACAAGAAACTGCCGACCTCTGGAAATACTGAACTATTTTGATGCAACATTACTAGTCAGTTGGTATCTGATGATAAATAGTGGCCAGCAATGGGTGAGGTGGGATTCTGAGCCCAAATGTGTGTGTCTACTGAAGAAAAACGTAGACCGCTGACATATTTATCTAGGATTATTGTCTTTTGTGCATGATGTACTGGGGAGGGGCCAAGATGAAAAGACAGACAGGGCTCATTGAATGCTCTGCAGTGCATGTGTTTTTGTGTACTGAAGTTCACTCTTTTATACAACCTGTTCAAAATGAATGGGCGGCATAGCACCAGAAATGCACCAACAAAATCAGAGGCTGATAGCATTTTGAAGCACACAGGACACCATGCTGCTGATTTATGCTGGGTGTCAGTTACAGTGAATGGCACCAGAGCGCACATAACGTGCATTACCACACATCACCGAAACGCAATTGGTGTAAAGCAGCCACAGCTCATGATAGAGAAAGGCCTCAGATGAGGCCAAGCTCCCACTCCTCCACCAAATTGCACATCAGCACAAAAGGAGCTCGATCAGGACAGTGAAATGAAAGCAGTGGAAAGGGGAGGCAGCTTCCTGAGCTCTGTGCCTCCCCCTACAGGGCAGTACCTTGTGCACGTACAGTATGGCAGTTTTTAAAAAGGGTGTGCGTGCATGTGTGTGCGTGCATGTGTGTGTGCGCGTGCATGTGTGTGCGTGCCTTTTCAGGGCTTATTCATTATAGCGATCGCTCCTTTGAAAAATGATCTATGCTCAAATCACTTTTCAAAGACATTTGATAGGTCGTGAAGAGGCAATATATTGCCTCCTCACCACTTGTTTTAATCCCCTAAATGCAGCAAATCGCTGTGCCACAACCGCATTTAATGAATGCAGTTGCAGGGAGGTTTCAGTGCAGCCCCATTCACCTGGGAGTATACTTTCAGCTACAGCCACAGCATGTGTACATATCCCTGGCTGTTGCCACTATAGCTAAAGGAGAGCAGTTAGGAATAGTAAAACCACAGCTCAACCACATGGTTTTACCATCCCCCAACCTCACTTGTGAACAAGCCCTTGGTTCACATCTGTGCAACTACATGCTGTGTGTAGGGCAGCTCATTCACTTCAATGGGCTTCCCTATGCGCAGGAACACAGGGAAAAGTCACTGATCCTTTTTTTTTTTTAAATCACACCTTAATGAAAATGCACTGTGGTTGCCAATGAATAGGGGGTACCATTAAGAATTAATGACACCCCTGCACGTCTTCTAAAGAACAGCGCATTTGTCTTGCTGTTGGAATGCACGTGATTTTGTGCATGTTCCCAAACAAGCAGTGATGTGAACCAAGCCTTAGACTGGGGTGACTCGAGACTGAAAATACTTTGAGGGCGTCCTAACTGGGGAAAAAAGTTGAAAAACACTGCTTTAAAAGGTATAACTATTATGTTCCTGTTTGTTTTCCAGGAAAGCTGTAAAAAACTGTTGTGTTCATTTCCCACGTCATGCAATCTGCTACGATGTTTGTAACCAATCCGACACAGAATGGAATACAATAAAATACTCATGTTCTTGCACATGTTTAGAAGTTTTCAAGACAAAATGTTAGCTGAAAATGGATGGAACTTACACTAACTGAAGGAAAATCAATCATGTACAGTAGTTGGTACATGAAGAATAATGTTTTCTAGATTTAGTCTCTAATTAAAATACACTGGTCAAAGAACTATAGGGGCTGCCTATGCAGACCTCCTCCAGAAATGCTAGTTTGCTAGCTGTGTCCATATCAAATGCTTCTGCGTTACTGACCTATAACTAGCATGCACCAAATGAACATAAGATAATATTCATACTTCTTCCACATCCCTTAAAGTGATATTAAAGGCAATTGAAAAAAAAAAAAAAAAACAGACATGTCATACTTACCTGCTCTGTGCAGTGGTTTTGCACAGAGCAGCCCAGATCCTTCTCTTCTTGGGTCTAATGTCCAAGCTCCTGGCACCTCCCCCCTGCCAAGTGCCTCTAGAGAAAGTAGCTTGTTATGAGGGCACCCAATTAACTAGATTGGCGGAATCCTGGTGCACAAAAGAACAGTGTCCATTCCCCAGCCTGCCAATGTAATAATCCAAAAATCTCTAAAAACATAATGTCTATAAAAAGTCCATAAAAGTCCATAATAGCTGGTGGGCACCAGTGGCAGCTCTGCTCAGAGTTAGCCAGCTCCGTGTGCAAGGGTAAGAGAGAAAAAAGGAAAGCGCCACCTAAGTGCAATATTATAATAAACTAATTTATTAAGTGAGGTTAAAAACACTCACAAGAAGCAAGTGATCTCTCATCATAAACTAGATCAGCATCAGCCGCTCATCCCCCTCCTGGACAACCGCCACCGCAATTCAAAGCTGTAGAAGGTAGTGCTGGGGGGCAAGTACACCCTGTGGACACCAGGAAGTCCTCCTCAACCAGCGTAAAACGTATGGGTGGAAGTGACAAAACCGGTGAGATGAAGGTGAGATAAAGGTCGGAGAGATGACAGGCTACAGTGGATATGAAAAGTCTACACACCCCTGTTAAAATGTCAGGTTGCTGTGATGTAAAAAAATGAGACAAAGATAAATCCTTTCAGAACTTTTCCCACCTTTAATGTGACCTATAAACTGTACAACTCAATTAAAAAACAAACTGGAAAGAAACATTTTTTTTTGGGGGGGGGGGGGTAAACATAAAAACTAAAACAATGTGGTTGCGTAAGTGTGCACACCCTCTTATAACTGGGGATGTAGCTGTGTACAGAATTAAGAAATCACATTCAAAATCATGTTAAATAGGAGTCAGGACACATCTGCCATCATTTAAAGTGCCTCTGATTAACCCCAAATAAAAGTTCAGCTGTTCTAGTAGGTCTTTCCTGACATTTTCTAAGTCGCATCCTACAGGAAACGCCATGGTCCGCGGAGAGCTTCCAAAGCATCAGAGGGATCTCATAATTCCAAAAGGTATGTTTGGCGCAAAAAAACACTGCACATCACCAAAAGAACACCATACCCACAGTGAAGCATGGTGGTGGCAGCATCATGCTTTCGAACTGTTTTTCTTCAGCTGGAACTGGGGCCTTAGTCAAGGAAGACAATTTATGAACAGTTCCAAATTCCAGTCAATACTGGCACAAAACCTTCAGGCTTATGCTAGAAAGCTGAACATGAAGAGGAACTTCATCTTTCACCATGACAATGATACAAAGCATACATCCAAATCAACAAAGAAATGGCTTCACCAGAAGAAGATTAAAGTTTTGTAATGGCCCAGCCAAAGTCCAGACCTGAATCCAATCGAAAATCTGTGGGGTGATCTGAAGAGGGCTGTGCACAGGAGATGCCCTTGCAATCTGACAGATTCGGAGTATTTTTGCAAATATTGCCAAGTCAAGATGTGCCATGCTGATAAGACTCATACCCAAAAAGACTGAGTGCTGGAATCAAATCAAAAGGTGCTGCAACAAAGTATTAGTTTATGGGTGTGCACACTTCTGCAACCATATTAATTTTAGTTTTTTTAGCCCAGACATATGAAGAATACGGGAGATTGTAGTCACATATACCACACAGCCAGCACTTGCCAGATATTTCTGCAGCTCCTTTAATGTTGCTGTAGGCCTCTTGGCAGCCTCCCAGACCAGTTTTCTTCTCGCCTTCTCATCAATCTTGGAGGGACGCCCAGTTCCTGGTAATGTCACTATTGCGCCATATTTTCTCCACTTGATGATGACTGTCTTCAATGTGTTCCATGGTATATCTAATGCCTTGGAAATTCTTTTGTACTCTTCTTCTGACTGATACCTTTTAACAATGAGATCCCTCTGATGCTTTGGAAGCTCTCTGCGGACCATGGCTTTTGCTGTAGGATGCGACTAAGAAAATATCAGGAAAGACCTACTAGAACAGCTGAACTTTATTTGGGGTTAGGCACTTTAAATGATGGCAGGTGTGTACTGACTCCTATTTAACATGATTTTGAATGTGATTGCTTAAATCTGAACACAGCTGCATCCCCAGTTATAGGAGGGTGTGCACACTTATGCGAGCACATTATTTTAGTTTTTAATGTTTACTCCCCCCCTCCTAAAAGATTTCAGTCTGTTTATAATTGAGTTCTACAGTTTATAGGTCACGTTAAAGGGGGAAAAAGTTCTGAAATTATTTATCTTTGTCTCATTTTTTTACATCACAGAAACCTGACATTTTAACAGGGGTGTGTAGACTTTTCCTATCCACTGTAAGTCTATTATTGTTGTTGCTTTTTGTTTGCTTCCATGATTTATGTGCAGTTCTTTAATCAGTACAATTGTTTTTTATGGAAACCGCTGGTCTATGTAGTCCTCCTAGCCACGGTTCTCCACATGCTATTTATAGTCGTTTGTAGTAATTGCAGCCCAAGGCTTGCAGAAGGAGCAGTGGGTTTCGAGCACATAGTCTGTCATCTCTCCGGCCTTCCTCTCTCCAGGGACATCACATTTTTCCCGTACGTTCCACGCTGGTTGAGGGGGACTTCCTGGTGTCCACAGGGCGTCCTTGCCCTAGCACTATCTTACACAGCTTTGGATTGCGGTGACGGTTGTCCAAGACAGGGATGAGAAGCTGATGCGGATGTCATTTATGATGAGCGATACCTTACTTTACTCCTTGTGAGTGTTTAACCTATTGCTAATAAATAGTTAATTATAATATTACACTTAGGTGGGACTTCCCTTTTTTCTCTTATGGGGCACCCAAGCAGGCTCGCTGCCAAGCCGCTGCACTGTGTGTTCATTCACACACAGAGCCGTGGCTCGGCCGCGTCCCCTCTCTCTCCTCACTGGCTGTGATGGACTGGCTCCCACTGTTGTCTCAGGCAATGAGGAGGGAAAGTCCCCAGAGAGCCGAGGCTCTGGTGCATATCATTGGATAGCAATAGGGCTCAGGTAAGTATTAGGGGAGCTGAAGCACACAGGAGGAGAATGCATGAAGGTAAAAACCTTGAGCCTTTTTACAACCACTTTAAGCACTATACAAAGAAATAGAGTAAACAATCCAGGCAGCCACACTCCAAGAATCTTCATCTTTATTGAATGTAATATAAAAGCAACTATTTACAGCTATATAGAAACTGTGGAGACTGAAAAAGTTGGTGCGTTTCAGTGCTTTATTATGACCTGACTGTCCTGACACGGTCGTCTGACATATTGGAGTTCACTGTACGAAGAAATGCCTGGGCGCATCACGCCAAATATTAACAGTAGTGAGCTCTCACGAGGACTTCATAACAGGTGAACCAGATATCTGCAGCATTAATTGTGATCTGACAATTTGGTGGGACTCAAATGTAGGATCACAATAAATGCTCTGGATGTCAAACTCACCAATTGTGGGCTCCTGACATTCTACTGGACCTTGGTCCTGCCAGAAAACATAAGTGAGCATACAAAGAAGGCCCTGCCAAGTGAATCTTTATGGCAGAACTTCAAGGGCAAATAGAATGCTAAAGGTGCAATAAATAGTCTTCAATAAAAATGTATTCACTCTTGATGGAGCTTGTAGGCAATTTGTTCCAGATAGGGGAAGAAAGGAAAAGAACCTCTTTGTTAGGTTTCATTTCAGTCTATGTATATGCTTTCAAGATTTATGCTCTTTATTTTCCGAACGGCTATTGTCACTTCCAAAAACCTCAGGCGTCAGAGGCTTTTACTTGGGACATCAGCTACCTGGCATCTGAGGTGTGCTTAACCCTAATTACAAACATCTAACACAGGCATCACTAAATGGTGGACAACAGTCCAGATTCGGACCGAATCGTTGTCCCATCTGGACCAACAGTCACAGCAGCACAGCAGAGAGCGAGAGGCAGGACAGGGTGGAAAGCAGGTGGCAGGACTGGGCGGAGAGCGGAAGGCAGGACAGGGTGGAGAGATTGGCACAGTAACACTGGATGGAGTGCGGGATCAAGAGCTGTCTGAGATAACTTTCCAGATTAACCAGCAGCTGGACTGGTTGTAGGACACAAAGTGGTCCTTGCAACCAATCACCAGCTTGTGAAAATGCTTCCACCCTCCATCCAGTGCTGCTGTGCCTCACGTTCTCTGCTCTTTCCTGCTTCCTGTTCTGTCCTCCCTTCTGCTCTCCATACTGTGTAAAGGGGTGGAGGACCTGGCTATGAAGGATGGGGGGCAGGGGATGCTTTATGTGAACTAGGTAGAGCTCTACTGTGCAGATAACACTACTGTATGTGGAGGGGGGGGGGGGGTTATGTGAAAAGGGCAGAAAGAACCACGAATGGGGGTGATGGAAAGGGGTAGAGAGCACTACTGTGGAGGGGAGAGGAATGATGTGAAGGGGGCAGTGCTATGTGGGGGGAGTGATCTGAAGAGAGGGCAGAGGACATTACTGTGGGGGGGTTTGTGATGTTTAGGGAGGGGCACGGGACACTACTGTGGGGCATGATGTAAAGGGGGCAGAGGAGGACACTACTGTGGGGGGGATGATGTGAAGGGGGCAGAGGAGGACACTACTGTGGGGGGGATGATGTGAAGGGGGCAGAGGAGGACACTACTGTGGGGGATGATGTAAAGTTGGTTGAGGACATCAATGTGAACAAAGGGGGGTTCAGAACACTAAAGTGAAGGGAAGCTGAGGATACTGCTGTGAAATGGAGATCTGTGATGTAAAGAGGGATATGCAGGGTGATATGCAGGGTGGACTGAGGACACTGAAGGAAGAACAGAATTGGGATACCAGAGGATTGGGGGTTGTGATGTGAAAGATCTGAGTCTTTGGAAAAATATGAGATTCAGACCTCTGCTGGAAGAAAATTTTACTGATCGGACCTCTGAGTTTTAATTCAATACCCCTGAGCTAGCAGGAAAGCCATCTAGGTTCCTGACATTAAACAAACACTACTTTACCCATGTCCCTCAGCTATGAGTCTTTCTTGTTGAAGAAAACTTAATTGTGAAAATCTGACGCTTTTGTGACAAAATAGACATCACCGTTATATGACATGACATCTTAGGAGACAATAAAATTAGTTTATCTTACCTCTCATCACCTCCTCTCTGTTCTATGTCTCTGAGCTTTTCTACAAACTCAGGAAACTTCATTTCTTGTCTAACAGATTTGGGCTTAAAGTTCTTAAAGTTCACCATTTTCTTCTCATCATAATAGAGAAACTTGTGGCTGTTGGCACTGTACACAGAAAAGTCCCCATTGCCAATGTTTTCCTTCAGATAGTCTAAATCCCACTTCAGAGCTGGATGAACCAGATTCGTATCGGTCAGAACTACAGGTTCCTATTTCAGAACAAGAAAATAATGGAGTTAGGTTAAGCAACTCTGATATGTTAACAAGTAAACCTTAAATGCCAAGATGTTCTGCATTTCTACACTAAGTAAAATGTGCTATATTAGTTACACTCACAATGAAAACAAAATACGTGAGCTATCAAGCAGGAGTGAAAGGAAGGAATCCCCCCCCCAGGTGCTCTCGGAAGAAGAGGTGCACCCCTTCTTCTCTGTGCATCCCCAAAGGAAGCCGCATTCCTATGGTGGAGCAACTGTGGGCTCAATCTCGAGCCGAGCTGTGTGCATCCATAGTCACACACAGTACAGCACTACTCGCTCCTTTCTCACAGGCTTTGGCTGACAGCAGCAGGAATCGATGGTACCCACTACTTCCTCCGTGTCCCCTGTGAGGAAAGAGAGAGATAGAGAGAGTGAAGAGCTCTGTTACAGACAGGCACAGCAATGGATTGAAAAAGGACTCAAGTATGTATAAGGGGGGCGAGGGGGTTATACAACTGCTAGGACATATTGTACCTTCATGCAGCAACTGCATTAAAGGTATACCCTGCCTTTAAAATCACTTTCATGTACATTAATAGTTTTCTAAAGGTAAAGAATAGCAGTAGTGCATTTCTTTTGAGGTTTTCTCTCTTTATTTAGAAATATCAGACTGAAGGACCTTTCAATGGTTAGTTAACTGCATTTTGTGTACACTTCCCATATAAGCCATTCTTGGTCATATATATATATATATATATATATATATATATATATATATATATATCTATCTATATATACACACACACATATACACACACACACACACACATATACTGTACATGTATAATGCAAATAAAAGAACTGTACAAACTGTTGGTACTACATAAATTCTGTGTAATAATAATAAGAAGAAGAAGAAGAACAGTATCAGAATAGGATTAGAAAACTTTGTGATACAAGAGTTTTTTATTTAACATTAGTATGAATAGGTTTTCTAAATATACGCAAAATGCAGCATGTCCTATACGTTAAATCACACTAAGCTGCAGCACACAGATATGAACTGACCATGCAGAATTGAATGGGCTTTTTAATTAAACCATATTTTACTGTAGGATAGTAGACATGTTGGAACCAACCCTAACTCAGCTGTGTGAGCTTGAGCTATATAGATCTGCAACAGGCTATTTTTAAGCAATGCAAGTGATAAGTCCTGTAAACACGCAATATAGAGGATAAAATTCCACCTGGTAAATGTTGAACACTGGAAGATTGTGTGGATAATCATACACACATAATGTGTGTGTGTATATATGAGATATATTAGGAATCAAGTGAATATGTTGTCCCTGAAGTTGATGTGGTGAAAACAGAAAACAATGGCAAGCGCAAGGATTTGAGCAAATTTTACAAAGGACAAAATTGTAATGAACAGACAACTGGGTCAGAGCAGCTCCAAACTGCAGCTCTTGTGGGATGTTCCCGGTCTGCAGTGATCAGGATCAACCAAAAGTGGTCAGAGGAAGGAAAACTGAAAAGAAAAACTGCAATAGGGTCACGGGCAGCCAAGGCTCACTGATGCACGCAAGGAGCAAAGGCTGGCCTATGTCGTTTGATTCAAAAGAAATGCTACTGTAGTTCAAATTGCTGAAAAAGTTATTGCTGGTTCCAACAGAAAGGTGTTAGAACGCACAGTGCATTGCAGTTTGTTGTATATTATTATACAGGATTTATATAGCACCAACCGTTTGCTCAGCGCTTTACAATATAAGGGAGACAGTACAATTACAATACATTTCAGTACAGAAGGAATAGGAGGGCCCTGCTTGTGGAGCTTACAATCTAAAGGAAGGGGGAGGTGATACAAAAGGTGATAGCTGCGGGGGATGATCTGGTGGAGGTGGGGTAGGCTCCCCTGAAGAAGTGCGTTTTCAAAGATTGCCTAAAGGCAGACAGGGTGGGGGCTGACCGGACATGCTGTGGTAGGGAGTTCCAGAGGATGGGAGAGGCTCTGGAGAAGTCCTGGAGGCGAGCGTGGGAGAAGGTGATGAGGGAGCTGGAGAGGAAGATATCATGGGAGGAGCGGAGTGGGCGATTTGGGATGAGGATGTGGATGAGATCGGTGATGAGGCTATGGGCAGTGTTGTGGATGGCTTTGTAAGCTGTGGTTAGTATTTTGAATTTTATTGGATTCAAAGGTTATTGGAAGCCAGTGAAGGGATTGGCAGAGAGGGGCAGCAGTCGCTGATCAGTTGGTAAGGTGTATGATAAGGTGTAAGATGTATGTTGCATATAGAGCTGCATGGCTGTGGTATTGTCAGGGTGTCCATGGTGACCTGTGTCCACAGCCAAAAGCATCTACAAAGGGCACATGAGCTGGACCACAGAGCAATGGAAGGTGTCCTAGTCTGATTAATTAAAAAATGGTTTTAGGAACACAATGAGTTTGAGGTGTTGACCTGGCCTCCAAATTCTTCAGATCTCAATCCAATTAAGCATGTTTGGGATGTTTTGTTAGTTTTGGATAGGGTGGAGGGGGATTAAAACACCTGTCGGTTTTTACTGCCATTTGTGCCCCCATTAGGGAGACTCCCCATTTCAATTTGTCCTGTTTACTATTATCATCAAAAATGAAAGTTAAAAAAATAAAATAAAAAATTTTGAAATGACACCAGAACAGGAACAGAGGGGAAGTCTTCCAATAGGGTCACTAGTTCTGGTGCCCCTGTAGATACCCCAGGATTTCCCCTCACCTCCTGTTTGGCGCTGCCTTACTCTATCCAAAATAAAAAAAAGTTTTGCTTTTAGTTCTAGTTTAAAGTATCTGATACTGACGGCTTGGTGCCAGATACCACAGCATACCTTCAGAAGTCCATAGGAGCCCATGAGTCAACAGGTTATGGTGGGTGGTCATAACGCTATGGTTGATCAGTATATATAGGGTTTCCAGTCATTTGGTAACCCCAGGTATAATCTTTGTATTCCATATCCCGCATAACCCTCCCCACACACCATTGTGGAAGCACCCAGGTACCCCTTTCATACTGCACAACTGGAACAAAAGAAAATGTGATAGCCTTCAACTTGCATTACTTTGTTTTAAGCATAGACCATACCACACAGGTAGGAGATGGGAATATGGTTATGTGGCAAGAGAGATAAAGCATTTGGTTGGTGAACACGTACGCATGTATGGTAACCTGGAAGGCTTGCTAAACAAATGACACACAAGTAGTGGTTCATAACTAGGACTCAAGAAAGCATGTTATCAGATAAGTCTGCTGTAGGCCAGACATGTAATCTCTTTGCTGAGGTTCACATTAGTACTGGAAGTATCATCGCAGGATTGGTTTGTTACACATTTACAAGTGACAAGCCTATGGTATCTGAAATAAATCTAGGCGGAGATTAATAATGGGGATATACATTCCTGAGCAATGTTTTGGTTTGTGAACGTGAAGTGCAGAGGAAGAATAAACAGAAGCCGGTGTATTATTTCAAAGCAGTGTAAATATTGCTCTACTGCACTATCTAGAAGGCATAGCGGAACTTTAATGTAGCCGCTCAATTCAGCAGACCAAAGGACATAATTTGCTACAACTTTGCTCCCAAGTGACTTTTTATTGTAGTCAAATCACTACTGGAGGCCTCATAAAACCACTAAATAAATAATATATAAAAAAAATAAAGACTTGTCATTCAAATATCATAACACTGACAGCAGGTGGAAAAAGAAAAAACAATCACTACAATGCCTTTTATGCATACTGGTGATGATGACATTATTGACATGCTACCCTTCTGCCTTTTATATGGAGTACTCTAACTCCGGTCTTATGCATTGTGGAATATTCGGTCGGATATCCCTGTATGTTCAGAGGTCTTCCTTTTTGATTAATGCTGATCAGTGTCTCGTGTGCTTCACTGTTTGTAATAATACAGATGTTATGTTTTTTTTATTGAGAAAAACACTTCTGTAAAAAAAAAATAATGTTATTAAAAGAAGTATGGCCAAAGCTCTTTTACTACCCAATCCCTGATGTATTCCATGTCAGAATACAATTCTTACAGTACCTACCTATATGGGGAAAGTTGCACTTATCCCTTGTTACCTTAGGTGCAGTGTGAATTACTACCACGGGTAAAACACTTTTTATACTCCTGGAAAAGCCATTCTAAAAAATGAGTGAAATCAAAGTAAATCAGACTGTTCAAACAAATCTATCCAAATTTAGGATAGAATAGCTGAAGTTTTAGAAAACACCCCTTCCATAATCTCCCATTAACTAATATCTAAATAGAACACCTCAGATGCAGTCTTACCCCACCCTCTTTTTAGGCTTCTGTAGTATACCAAAATGGCAGGCAGAGTCCGGCTCCTTTACTGAGCCAGTGATGTGATTGTGCTACACTGGCAACATCTAATGTTTGTGAGCGAGTTCACCAGACCAGGCATGGTCAATATTATTATTATTATACAGGATTTATATACCGCCAACAGTTTGCTCAGCGCTTTACAATATAACGGGAGACAATACAGCAACAATACAGTTCAATACAAGAGGGTTAGGAGGGCCCTGCTCCTTTGAGCTTACAATCTAAGATGGACTGGGGCTAGTGGTACAAAAGGTAGTAACTGTGGGGGATGGACTGGTAGGAGGAGTAGAAGATTTCATTATTAGCTGAGGGGGGGATAGGCATATTAACCTGATGGACTGGTAGAAAGGTTTTCATTATTAGCTGAGATCACCTAAAAGTGAGCAGATTAGGCGATAGTCTGATAAATTGGTATAGAGAGTTCCAGAGGATGGGGGAAGCTCTGGAGAAGTACTGGAGACAAGCATGGGAGGAGGAGACAAGGGAGCTAGAGAGCAGGTGGTCGTGTGAGGAGCGGAGAGTACGGTCAACAGCCAGATTGTTTAAATAGCTTCTAAAATGTCAATTAGATCAAACCCTGGTAACCATGCCTGCACCGTATTGCAAAAGATCACCACTCCATGAAGGATTCA